ATATATATACAGCCTCCTGATGAGTCGGTGAAACTCCGACGAAACAGTTTGTCACAGCCCCTTGTTTGTTGTCCTCTTCTCCCTCTCTGCCTACGGTTTACCGGGCAGTTCTATTTGACGATATATATTTATATATATATATATATATATATATATTTATATATATATCGCCACAAACAGAACTGCCCAGTAAACCGTAGGCAGAGAGAGAGAAGAGGACAACAAACGAGGTATGAGGAGAGCCAAATGAATGAGAACAGTAAATTGAATTATTGCTCTGAGGGTAGGCACATGGATTATGTCAGCATATGAATGGAAATTTTCTCTATTAATTTAAAGAGAAAGATAAAAAGAGCACATGAAATGAGGATCCCATACCTTCTGGATCCATGGCCATAGTTTCTCCATAACATCCCACCATAGATAATCGAGTTCTTTTGCGGCCACACCATTTCCATACTCCTCCTCATTGTTATCCACCATCACCTCCTTGCTGTCGTTGGTCCTTACAACATACTCATCCAGTTCTCTCACATACAATGAGGTATCACCTGTCTCGACCGAGATGTTGTCCTTGTCAATCTTGAAGTCCTTTACCCTAGCATATTCCTCGTTGCTGCTCTTCGTCGCTGCATCATGCGTGTTGTCACTGCTGTTTCCATCCACTTCCAGCCCTTCTGTACGTGAGCTATTAACTCTAGTAGGCACTGCAGTGTTGTCATCAGTCTCCGGGTCCTTTTGTACGTCAGTATCCTTGTCCTTGCTCTTGTTCCTTGCCATTTCCTGCTTGTTATTGCTGGTGTCAAGATTGCCCTCCAACTCTCTCACAAGTGATCTGCTTCCCTTCTGCTGAACCAACAAGTTCCCATAATGCATCCCGAAATGATCTACCATATGATCCTCCTCGCTCGCCAAAACCCACTTGTTGCCGCCGCAAGCATTCCCCTCCAGCTTTTGCGCATTTGTGCTATCGGCCTTTGTTGTAGAAGTGCATGTGCCATTGTTCTTCTTGAAGTCCTCTAGGTTACCAGGCTCCTCGCTGGCGCCAGTTGCTACCTGTAGGTAAGCTCCGTTGCTGCCATCTTCTACCCCCATCTCTCTTGCATGCAAGTTGTTGCCCGCTGGCACGGACACGTCACCACTGGTCTCGGAGTCTTTTAAGTTGGAGAACGTGACTCTGTCACTCTCCCAAATCACCTCCATCATTGCTTGGCGCATCTCCTTAAATCCATGCTTTGGGCGTGTAGGCGAGAATGCGACAAATAGTGTGCTGACCCCAATTGCCACCACGACCCAGGTAGCAATTAAAAGGAAAGTTGTAGCCGACGGCATATGGGTTGGTCGTGCGGTCCAGGCAAGATGTGGGAGCATACGCCTGCCTCCTGGCTTGTCCATTTTGAAGAAACCGCCTCCCTGTGACAGAAAGAGAGTGACAAGTCTGTCATATCACACACCCTTATTCTCAGGAACACACTGCGACAAGTCTGTCACACACCATCATGCTCATGAATAGAAAGAAAGTGACAAGTCACACACCCTCTTGAGTGCACATATTGAGCCTTCAAAAGTAAGAGTTAGACTGTAGCATGCCTAGAGTCTCCTACACAGGCCCTTAGGCCCAACATTGTATCTTGGGGAGCTTATCTCGTTTTCCGGCACGCAGGTACGTCCTTGGTACGCATGGAGTCCAGTTACGTCTCCGTTTTCAGTGTGCTTACTTGTTTTTGGAGGCCTGTATTCATTTTGTGTCAGGGGGTGTCTTGTCAACACTCTGTTTAGAGACCTGTGTTTATTTTGCGTCAGGGGGCATCTTGCAATGAACCTAGTGCAACTCAAAGCTCAACCTCACGCACATGCAAAGAACACCACTCAAAGCTCAACCTTACGCACACGCAAAGAACATTCAGAGTTCAAACTTGAAAGCCAATAGCAGAGGCACAAATCAACGCACAAAGAACTTGCACCGGATTATTACTATTTTTACAAGGAAATCGTTCATGCCTCCAACGGACCTTGCCGCTCACACACTCTGCAACTCAACTCAGATGGATGCCGGCTATGGCTCCTCTCTCTCTCTCTCTCTCTCTCTCTCTCTCTCTCTCTCTCTCTCTCTCTCTCTCTCTCTCTCTCTCTCTCTCTCTCTCACATTTGTCACCACTTGGATCTCTCACTCTCTCTCTAACTTGTATCCCTCTACCTCACACTCTCTCCTAACCCTAGATCGTAACCCTGGATACACCCACTCAGATCAGGTTCCAACCTTGGTGGATATGGTTGCCTCACCTCCTCCTCGTCTACCCTAACTATGGTTGACCTCAAGCACCCTCTTCCTCCTTCAGCGGCGGTGTGCCCAAGTCGCTGGAATGCACAAGCAGCAGCAGTGCTTCCATATCTCGCGAATGAACAACTGTTGAGTCGCTGCACTGTAGCAGCTAAAGCTTGGCCTGCTTCAGACCGGTGTCGGTCGGCCGCGGTTTGTCTGCTGCAATCATTTTGTCGGGCCGATTCCTGTTCGCAATCTCAACCCAGTGGACGCGAAAAAGATGTTTGCGCCACATCGCAACCACAAAATCCTTTGGGGGTTATTGTTGTGCCCAATGATAACGATGCACCCACAATCCTCACTCCAAATCCGCGTGCTTACCTTGCTAGATGGTTTGACGATGTGAAAAAGGTTGGTATCCAAAATGTTTTGACCGAGGTGCTTTTTGAAATGTTTGTAAAAAGTGTCACAGTCGTAAAAGATGGACGAATATAGGAAAACTTCCTCAAGTGGAAAAGAAACAAACTCACTGATATGTGGTTGGAACGACGATCCCCTCTTCCTTCATACCCGTTGAATGTTTCGGATTTGGAGGCTTCTTCCATGTTGAATTCACTTTTGACCGATGAGTATGTTGCTCTTTCTAATGAGGAGATTACTAGGATGATATTTGATTTGCCACATTGTCCGACAGAAGGGACCGTTCCCCAATCATTTCACAGATATGCACAGATACAGCACCTTTTGAAAAGGATTCCTCCTGCGGTTGCTTCTTGCGCTCCTCATTCCGCTCCGGTCCGTAGACTCCCCCTTCAAGCAGCATCTCCTCCAAATTTTCAACGTCTTGCGGATTATGCTCCACCATCCAATATGTCAACGTCGATTGTCACTACTTTTGTTGTTGTTTCTGCTTCACCTCAGTTGTGTTGTGCATGCTCTTACGCCATCAAGAGACCATTTGCATGTCAATACAAGACCCTTGGAACAAGTTCGAACAACCAAGTTCTTCTAATTTTAACATTACCATTTATGACTCTCTTGAATCTATTGGTCCCAAAAAGACACTTGCACACCTGTCATATCTTGACAGTTCTCACAGGGTGCAAGATATTGTGGAAGCAGCAGCGGAGTTGAATACCAGCATGAACACTTCGAAATGTGTTGATGTTGCAATTCATCTCGATTACAATCGGCAAAGACAAGGTTGATTCGGAACTTTTAAGGAGTATCGTCGTAAAGTGTTGCAACAAGTACCTCTTAGTGAGGTGCTGCAAGAGTATCGTTCCAGTGAAGGAAGTTAATCGGTCTTATAAGGGAGATAAGAAGAGAGAGATGTTGATTGAGCGGTCGTCCAGGCGTTGCCTTAATGGCAGATTTTTTTATGGTCAGCTTCGGTTCTGGTTAAGTAATTGCCCTTACAAGAGAGATAGGAAGAGAGAGAGAAATAAATGGGGCGGCGGAGAGAGAGAGAGAGAGAGAGAGAGAGAAAAAAAAAAAGAAAGAGAGAGAGAGAGAGAGAGAGAGAGAGAGAGAGAGAAGAAAATAATTTTGATTTGATATTATTGCATTTTTTTACGTCAAGGTGGATTCCATTACGCAATAATTGTGCCTTGATCATACTGCGGGCACTTGCTAACTTTAATGGAACGATAAATCCTCATATAAAACTTCTTCTCTTTGTATATTGGTGTTGGTTATTTTTTATTATTTGCTCTCTCTCTCTCTCTCTCTCTCTCTCTCTCTCTCTCTCTCTCTCTCTCTCTCTCTCTCTCTCTATCTATCTAT